TTGCTTACCAACCAAGCAAGAATGTATTTATGTTATGATGCTTGTATAATAATGGAGCAGCAATTGTGTAATCTGATACTATTATAGTATTTCTGTTCTTAACAGAAGTATTATGTAATATTTCAAGATTAATTTCAATTACTTCGAACACACAGCAATCTAGTTTCACCAAATCTACAACATTTCATTAAACATTATACTGTTCTTAATATAAACAATTATTTCATGTATCATAACACCTTTATTACGAACGACACTGTCGATAAAAATAATCATAACGTCTAACGATAACTATGTAATTAACTCTAACTCAAAACCTGATTGTGTTTTTACAAATACAACCACTTCTCATACTACGTTACCGGTTGTAAAATTTTCTAAGTTCTTTGAGACTTTCTTTTCCAACTAACTAGAAATAATTGTTTTATAGTAGACGATTTTGATTCCAGATGTTAACATGGCAACATGATTTACAATATCATCAAATTTTTAGGTCTTAGAATCCTAAACAAGAATGATGCCACTCATTAAGGTAGGTCCAACTATCTTAATTTCGCTAAAGATAAATTACACTGTTCTCCAATTTTATGTGGTCTTCGTCCTGGTCAATCATGGCTGATCTACACAGTAGTGACCATTTCTCTGTAGTAATTTAATTTTTACTAAACAACCACTCTGCTACCAGAAACACAGAATGTCTGTACTACTCCATGCAACTTCGCACATACTATTTGATCTTAATAAAGCCGATTGGACTTTATTTTCCTAYCTAATTAATCATAACTTAACGTCAGTTGGTTCGGTTATGTTTTATKAATATTCCCTGCCCAGTTGAAGCTTATAATAAGTTTATCTAAAGAGAAATTTCCAATCTATCAATTCAACATAAACGTAAAAATAACAATCTATATTCTCTTTCACCCCTGTGGCAGCTTCACCTGAACTCAAACCGTTAAAATTCGCAAGAAATCATATGCGTGGAAGAAACTCTGCAACAATTTCAACAGTCTTTTTCCATAACTTTACTTTGCAAACCATTAAACGTTTTCGTAATTGTATTTACTCTAATACCCGCACTTTAAATAACAATGGTTTCAATGAGACTTACACAAAAGTTGCGTTCTGCTAAATTCCTTCGAAATTGAAAACATCATTAGTCCTCAACTTTCTCTCTCAACCATTGTTCAAGTTTAACGCCAACTCTTGATTAACTATAACTGCAATATTTTCATGAAAATCAACTACACATGACATCGACTGCATATTTCTACTAAAATAATACTCTTTCCGTATAGTGGTATCAGCACTCTCCTTAGTAGCTTCAATTGGTCCAGAAAAAATAAAACCGAAAGCTTATTACCTACTATAAACAAAAGATAATATTTTAACAGAAAGACAATTGTTGCCAAAGAGTTAGTGCATTGATGAATTAATTGTAATTAAATATTAACAGTTCTAATAAATTTATATACTTTATAAAAAAAAAAAATAGTTGAACAATTGTCGCGTGATAATATACATATAATTATATTAATCTTAATATAAAATGTATATGTAACATATACAATTATTCCAGTAATTTAGTCAGATTGAGTGAATTTATTTTCTGGATGTATTTTCTAGCTTTTTGTTGAAAAGGTTGGAAAGGCAGTGTGAAATAACGTTCCACCGAACCTCCTACCATCTCTAGAGGTCAGGTGGTACTATTCACAAGAAAGCGCTACCTCCCTTGTGAAGCCTCTCCTAGTAACGTCAATCGGGGACACAATAAGGGACATTGCGGTGACATAACGACTAGCATATCTTAATACAACTTTGGCACGTCCGTTTAGGAGCATCCACCTCACCAGAATAGAGTTGGCATTTCTGTTGAACCTGCAKGGGACAACTTTAAACTCTCCAGC